ACATGTTTTTTAAACTTTGTTCGAGTTCTACAAACAATATATTTTTCAGATTACGTGTTAGATGTGGAACTTGGAGTCGATGAGCATATGCATTGGGAAGCTCCGCTAGACGGGCACGTGGATCTCGAGGTGGATACTTAGGGTTATACTCTCCTAGGTGTTAGACTAGAAAATTTCTTTTGAGATTATGTAAAAACTAATCTTTTGTTATATTCCGCTACAAGTTTAAATGTGATTTTTTTGAGATATAATAGCCATGTTTTGGTATATTCTTGTGGGAATGATGTTGTAAATATTACATTTGATGAATGAAATTTCTTTATTGATGGATTTTATTATTTGCTCTCATTATGTGAATGGATTTAGATTGTAATGTCGTCCAATGTGAGTTTTGGGGCGTTACATTAATATGTGTATTTAAAACAAATTTTAGGATCAATTAAAATAAATATTACTAAAAATAATATATTTTAAAATATTATAAATTTTATATGAAAAGCAGTATATATTTTATTGAAATTAAAATTCTCATTAAATTTAGCTAATACAAATTTAAATGATAATTAAAAGTATAATTCCAAAAAATAAATTCTAACCAAATTATGTGTTACTACATAAAATAAATTTCATTAAATACCCAATAACTTCATAAAATATTACATTAAAAAGATTTGACATATCTATTGAGATATATCAAATTTGTTTTTGTCCAGTCAATAATTGACATATCAATTGGAAAAGCCTTGAATGTCAAAAACAGCTTTTGAAGCCTCCACATAATATTTGGCATACAAGATGCTCTTATTGTATCAATGATAATTATTCAATGTACAAAACAAAAAAATTATACCATCACAAGTATGAACATCTTATGCGTGAGCAAAGAGACAATTTATTAAACATGGTACCCTGACAAACACAAAGACAGATCTGTGAATAAATTATATAGATGATGTTTTAAAATTATATTAGTAACATTTATTATTTAATTAAATAAAAGGACAAGCTTATTTATCATATTACTGGCTAATTTTATTTTAATATGCATGATATAAGAATAAAAGTTGAGAAGATAATTTCTTAACGATTTGAGAAAAAGAGACATATATTTCTTAGTACTTAACTCTTAAATGTTCTTAATCATAGGATTACTATGTAGGCACTATGTAATCCAAATAAACTAGCACATACTATGTTTACTCATATTTGATATGAAGTAATTCATCAAAGTCATTAGTATAAAGACACTGAAGCAAGAGTATGGGTGTTTGTTACAGAACAAGTACACTGAACGTGATCATTGACTAACGTAAGATTTTTCATATGAAATTTTACATACTTGTCAATGTTAAATCCTAAATTTATTGTTATGCAACTGATCCTTAGACTTGAGACACCATGGTTGTCTTGTGCATAAACTTCTATGCTTTAATCTTCTAGGATATGACTCAAGGAGTCCTTGACCAAGACATAATGACAATTAGAAAAAGGGTTTCTAATTGATCATTATGAATCATAATCCTAATGTTGAACACATAAGATTGAGTTAGGGGTTTGACAATAATTTCATACTTTAGAAATTCAATTGGGGCATTGTACAATAGAAGGATTGAATTGCATAGTAACTGTAGACTGAATGGATTCTTTACCTACTTTGTGATATTCAGAGATTGATCATGATATGATGTTAGGTGTCACTCATGATTAATACAAGTTCGAAGAATAAAATTAATATAAATATATTAATTGTTCTTCATAAAGGAGAATTAGAAGAGTTATAATTTAAGCTAAATTAGAAATAGTTCTAATTCAAGATGCTACTTATAGTTAGTATCAAATGCCTTCAACCGAGTACGCTTGAACCTATAAGGCTACATACAATAAAATTGATTGAAAATTAAAAGATAAAGGAGAGAAAACCAATTAAGAATTAATTGTGGAAAAAATTTAATTAAGAGTGAATTAGAGACTTTATTACAATTAATGGTTAATAAATGAGTTATATGTAATTATGAGATAATAACAACCTGACCCAAATTAGGATTAGAGTCTTTAAAGTTCTATGAATATCTTTATGCAAGAGGTAGATATAAGATGTAACAACTCTCTTACTAGCACAAGAAGAATCATCCCTCATTCTTTCTCTCTGCTAGTTTATCAATGATTGAGGTAGATCATTCAAGTTTATCAATTCGTGTGAATACCGATAAAAACCAAACATTTGCAAGACTCGAGGTAAATATCAAATTCAGATTTGAATATTTAAGGTTTTTGAGAATGTTTGAAGATCATTAAAGGCACACTTCAAGAGATAACCATTAATCTTCCCTATAGATTTAAAGTTTCTCGATTTGTATTAAACATGAATAGATTTTGGTATGAGGAATCAAACTATTATTTTTTTTAAATTCCACCACGTTTATTACATGATTCCTTTCATACGTCAAGTTTTAATTGCGACAAACTACCTTCAATTAAACTTATACAATTAACTGCTCAAAAAGTGACAACAAGTTACGAGAATCTCAAGTGACATCAAAAAGAAAAAATTTCCCTGATTGATTTCTTTCTCGTCAAAAAAAAAAACTTACATAATAATTCATCCAAACAAGACCCCCCCACGGCCAATGAACCCCTCCCTACAACCCTAGCTGTCACATACATGAAAGCGAGACGGAGAGAATGATGTATGTGTACATAATTTATTAAAAGGAGGGCACACACTGATGATGCACAAATTGGTATTATGCACCACCTGTCAAGTGATTAGTAATTAATGCAGTATTAAATAAAGAGAGAAAATAACTCGAGCAAGACAAAGATGTAAAATGGTTCGGTCAACATAACCTACGTCCACTTTGAAGGGCTACGATAGTATGGGTATTTTATTACTTCAAAGAATGTAGGGAGAGCAAGGAGATACAAGCAATGAGAGAGAGATGAGAGTGATAGTAGATGTGCTCGATTGTGTGTGATGCCCCCCAAGGATTGGCGGGACTTACAATTTATAGTCGCCTCCTAACATATTGAGGCGGCTTATCAGTAACTAAAAGGTTAATTTGGTCGGGTTGACACCATCTTCTCAACAGATGAGGCAGTTACGACACTCCCTATAAAATCCGGTCAAAGTATGACGTGGTGGTTGACTTCTTCCAAGGCGGCGTGGATAAGGTTCTTAGATGACCCTGCTTACTCCCTTGGTGATGTAGCTCATCGAACCTTGATGAGCTTGACTGGTCGTAGATACCTTTGGGCTAGACCCACTGAATTTCTTCAAGTTGGGCTCTTAATTTAAATTGGGCTTATAACATGAGTTGGGCCGTTGGGCCTGACCCATCATTTGCCTCCAATGCCCTGTGTCCAATGAAACTTAGAGAAGAGGGCATTTGGTTGAGCCTGGATTTCAGCTAAACCCAAAACTGAAATAAATTTCAAAAGGCCCAAACACATGTTTCCAAGCCTTTGATATATTATGGGTCCCGTTTGGAGAAACGAATCAAAAGTTATAATCAAAACAGTGTCAACCCTTCTTGGACTTGAATTTTCCAGAAACTCCTTGATGAGAGCCAAGGTGGGCCTACTCTTAAAGATCCTTGGCATGTCCAGATGGGCCAATTACAAGATCAAGAGGCAAAAAGATCAAGGAAGCAATGCAAAGATTGGTAGGATGAAGCTAGCAAGAGCCCAACACTCAAGATGGGCTTGAAAGAAGGAGAACCAATTTTGATCCACATGATCCAAGTTTAGAGACAGTGGCTTTTGTTGTTAAAGCTTTCAATTTGTTTAAAGAGTTTTTATTATTAGTTTAGAATAAGTGGGTTTGAGTATGCTTAGCCCACACTTGTTTTATTTCTTAGGGTTTTCGTAGTTACTGTAGCACTGCACTATTCACGCTACAGTAACCACGCACTATTCACTCTTTTTAGGGTCTAATTGTAAGGCTTGTATGCCAAGTACTTTCCTTTTTCTATTTAGGCATGTGATCAGCCAATTAAATGACTGAATGTCATTCTTTTTCTTCAAGAGTTTTAGGAAAGTAAGAGATATTTCTTTACCAACAAGTAAGAGATATTTCTTAAATAGGATAGCTATTTTAGGAAGTTTCCTAATCCCTGTAATGACCAGCCTATAAATAGGTGTTCGATCAATGAAATAAAGGAGACAATATATAATGAATTTTGATTGTGAGTTGAGTTGAGTTTACTCCTCTTGTTCTTGATTGAATTTTTGAACTTATCAAAGGTAAATCACAACCTTTGTGGCGTTCCTCCTTGTAATATGGGTTATTGAGAAGGGTTCTTCAACGGGTCTTGATTTTAATATAATCTAGGTTCTTGAAACGAGTTCTCAACGGGTTTAGATTCTCCATCCATAGACCTGAATTTGGCTTTCTTGGGTTGTATTTTCAATATTGTTGTTGGGTCTCAAAAAGAGTGAATAGTGCTTGGTTACTGTAGCGTGAATAGTGCAGTGCTACAGTAACTACGAAAACCCTAAGAAATAAAACAAGGTGGGCTAAGCATCCTCAAACCCGCTTATTCTAAACTAATAATAAAAACTCTTTAAACAAATTAAAAGCCTTAACAACAAAAGCCCCTATCTCTAAACTTGGATCATGTGGATCAAAATTGATTCTCCTTCTCTCAAGCCCATCTTAAGTGTTGGGCTCTTGCTAGCTTCATCCCACCAATCCTTGCATTGCTTCCTTGATCTTCTTGACTCTTGATCTTGTAATTGGCCCATCTGGACATGCCAAGGATCTTTAAGAGTAGGCCCACCTTGGCTCTCATCACTCCTTTTGACTGACGACTCCTTTCCTTCCTGATATGTAAACTCCTTTTGCATGTAGGACATCTTCAACTATATAAACTCATCATTTTACTTCCCCTTTTGGATTCTAGAAGAGCCCTAGGTTACAAATTGGGACTTTTTGCTTTCTCTCCTTATTTCATCACCTTGATAATCCTTGGATGAGTGAGAGTAGGGATCTTGTTACAGAGATGGGTGTGCAGAGGTTAGTATTGATTAAAGGGGAAGATGTTATCGGTCTCCATGGTGGTGAGGTAACCGGTATTAAGGTATTCACTAAGGAGGTTGCCGACATTGTGGTGGCCGAAGGAGGATTTGGTCAGGTTGTGGTCACCGCGGGTGTCAAGGAGACGATTGGGCGCCATGGCAATTTAGGCGAGTTTGGATGCTTTTCGTGCATCGATGGCGACGATGCAACCTGTAGGGGCCTTGGAGCTGAGGCATCCGAGAGGTATCTAGACGCAGAGCACCACAGCCGAGCTCCCATGGACACCGCTAATGGTGAGGTGCCATGGGCGCCGCTAACTGGGGACCGAATCAATAATGAAGCTAGAGCAATCAAGCAGCGTCGCATGTAGCTGGGTCCTTGTCATTGGGCAAATCAGGTATGGTGGAGGCGAACGCCAGGCATGGATCTTTGTGAATGCCAGAGGAGAGCTCGCCAGGCACTTTTGGTGGTGTTGCTTCTGGTAAAACAACGGATGATCTAGCCCGTTCAGTTGGAGCTTCACAGAATCAGATTGCTCAAGACTCCCCTGGTAGCGGCTCGGGCAATGTTCACTTCGTCCTCGCAGCAGAAAGCATCGAGGCAAGGTAGCTCATGATGATGGCGGATAAAAAGTAAGTACCATTTCTAGTACCCTCAATACTGATGCCAATATTGTGTGGATTGTTTCTCCTTTTAACATTCTCTCGACAATACTGTGTCATCGAGCTGAGATGGGTGAGCCTGCTTACGATGACTCTTCTGGAGATATTACCATCTACAAGGAGGTGCTTGAGGCTGGGCTGAGGTTCCCTATGCCTTCCTTTGTTTCCCGCATTCTTTATTGCTTGTCACTAGCACTAGGGCAGTTGGCGCCCAATGGTTAGAGAGTTTTACTTGGGTTTCTGGCACTGTAGAAAAAGGTGCATCATGATGATGCTTCTCTTGAAGAATTCTATGCAGTTTATATTATGAGTGAGACTCCTGCTCTCAATCGTGACTGGTACTACTTTGCTCCGAGGGGAGGTAAATTGATCACCAGATTGCACTCTAACTGTCATTGCTAGAAGGCTCATTTCATGTTTGTTGGAGGAGAATGGGCTTCAGAGGCTGACAGAGCTTTGGTACAGACAAAATAGAACACTCCCAAGAGAATTGGTACCCCCACACTTATTCTTTCTCCTTTGCTTCTCTTTTTTTTTTTTTTTTGCAAATATGTACTCATTACATCTTTCACAGGTTCTCCAGTGCTCTTAAAAGATCAAGAATGGAGGTTGCAGGCTATGAGGGCTCACCCTGTGAAGGACTTTGGAGCTCTCATGCTCAAAGAGGGTGTAGCTAGAGACTCTTCAACTAGCAGTGCTAGGGTTGGTGTACCCTGGCCAAGGCTTGGCGGTTCCTCTTTAAAGAGAAAGGGTGTGTTGATTCCCTTGTCTTCTCCTCCTTTACTTGGTTTTTATCAGGATAACACTTTTTTTCTTGAGAATCCAATGAGGGGCGACCAGATAGGCTGCAGTCTTTCTCTCCCAAGGTTGAGCTTGTCATAAGCTTCTGCGAACAAAATGTCCACAAAGTTGCCGCTCTTACAAGAATCCTTCGTACGTGGAAGTTGGTGATATTCATGGTTAGCACTAGCGGGTTGTCCATGGGGGTGCTGGATTCCTTCTAGGTCCTTGTCCGAAAAGGATATAACCTCGTCACTTCCTTGCTTGCGTGTCATGGACGGGCACAGGTCATCAATATATCTAGCCTTTCTGGCATGTGCTTTCATGGCTGAGAGAGATTCTCCTACTTTTGCGAGCCCTCTAGAGATAGTATGGATTTCTCCAAGGGGTTACTGGTCCTCCTAATTATGAGGCGGTGGCAAAGCTTGACCCCTACCAGCAATATACTGGCGTAGATGACCATGTTGTATGAGCTCGTCAATCTATTTTTGAGATCATAACAATCGTCAATGTCGTGGTCGTGATTACGATCAAAACGACAATATTTGTTCGAATTCCTATGATTTAGGAGATATTTTATTCTCCCTGGCCACTTTACTGTTGGGTCATCCTAGATTTGGAATAAGATGTGTCTGACAGTGTCGTTGAAGGGAGTGAAGATTTGTCATCTCTCTGAGGAGCAAGACCAAGTTGGTCTTTGGCAAACACCCTTTTTGTCCTACCTCGTTTGTTTCCACTATCCTTCTTATCTTCTCTGTCTCTTTTCTTTATCTTCTACCCTGTTCATGAGGATTCACGTCGCCTAGCACTGGTGATGTCCTCAGCATTCATATACTTCTGTGTTTTCTCTAGTAGCTCTGGCATACTCTTTGGCGGACGCTTCATCACTGAAAATAAGAAGCTTGATGAACAAAAACCTCCCAAGAAGGCGGTCATGGTGACCTTATCATCGAGCTCTTCAATATAGAGGACCTCCTTGTTAAAACGAGTGAGATAACTCCTCAGGTCCTCATCTCGAACTTGGTTTATGATGAGCAAGTGGGTGGCATGCTTCTAGTGGTGGCGTCCTCCAATGAAGTGCAACACAAAAGACCTGCTTAGTTCGACAAATGAGTCAATAAACGCTGGAGTGAGCTTGGCGAACCACTGTCGAGTTGATCCCTTCAGAGTAGTCGGGAATGCCCTACACATGATTTTCGTCGGGGACGTTGTACAACTGCATTAAGGTCTTATAGGTTTCGAGGTGATCAAGTGATTCTTTTTGTACCGTCAAAGATTTCGATAGATGACATTTTGAACTTTTGGGAAATAAGGTAGTTTTTCACGTCTGGCACAAAAGGCGTGTCAGTTCGCCTTACGAGATAGTCCACAGTATTGGGTCCTTGTGCCTTCATGTCGTTGAAGACGTCACCTAGTTAATTCTACACCTCTTTGATTTTTTCGTCCCAGTGATTAGGGGCTCTTTTTAAATTATCATGGAAATGACTCACATGTTCCACGCTCTGGTTTTCGCCCTTATCCTCTTGAAAATGAAGGTCTCCACCATAAGAAGAGGGAGCTTGAGGAGGAGTTGGAGTTCCCTCATGATTCTGGTGCGGAGCTTCCCTGTATAGGGACCTCCTTGACGCCCAGGGTGCGGAGCTCTTCTGGCTTGAAGTCCTCTGGGCTGTGCTCCTTCTTGTTGTCCAGCGAGCTGATTCTGAGTCACAAACTGCTGTATTGTTTCCAGCATTTACTGTGCGTTTGGAACAGAATTGGTTGGTGGAGGGACAACCTCCTCCTCTCATGGTAAATTATCTTCAAATTGGTTCATGGATCTGGTGGTGATCGTCATAGGTATAGGAAGAAAAGTGCTTAGGTGAGAACTTTGTCGTTTTTCACAGACAACGTCAAACTGATAATGCACAAATTAATATTATGCACCACCTGTCAAGTGATTAGTAATTAATGCAGAAATTAAATAAAGAGAGGGTGAAAGTAACTCGAGCAAGACAAGGATGTAGAGTAGTTCGGTCAACGTGACCTACGTCTACTATGAAGGGCTAGAGTGGTCTGGGTATTTTATTACATCGAGGAATGTAGGGAGAGCAAGAAGATACAATCAATGAGAGAAAGATGAGAGTGATAGCATATGTGCTAGATTGTGTTTGATGCCCCCCAAGTGTTGGCGGGGCTTACAATTTATAATCGCCTCCTAACAGATTGAGGCGGCTTATCAATAATTAAAAGGCTAATTTGATGGAGTTGATGTCATCTTCTCAACAGATGATGCAGTTACGATGCTCCCCATAAGATTTGGTCAAAGGATGACGTGGTGGTTGACTTCTTCCAAAGCAGTGTAGATGAAGCTCTTGGATGACCCTACTTACTCCCTTGGTGATATAGTTCCTCGAACCTTGATGAGCTTGACTGAGCATGAACTCCTTTGGACTGAACCCACTAGATCTCTTTAAGTTAGACTCTTAATTTAAATTAATCTTATAACATAAGTTGGGCTCTTGGGTCTGGCCCATCACACACCACTGCCATACCAATAACAAACCACCACCACCATCTCCCGTTAGTATCCTCCACCTATCCAGTTGCATCGCCCCCAACACAGCCACCCAGACCTCAGTAACACCACAACCAACACATACAAACACAAACACTTCTGCGAGGGCAATGGACTGTCATTTAAAACAGGTAAAAATCTCAAGAAATTGGTGCTGACAGGCTGTTTTTTTAAAGAGGAAATGGACATCCAAGTTTGAATTTTCAACTTTATAAATATGTAGATTGCATACACACACACACACACGCATACACATCAAATAGAGTGAGAGAGTAGAGCCTTACAATTTTTTGTACAAGAATATAGTACACTCTTTTTTTTCTTAATTTAGAATGTACATATATTTTTGATTTAAAGAAAAATATTCGTGAAATTTCTTTTGATCGTTTGATGTAACATTCTAATTTTTTTTACATTCTTTTTAAAATTCAATCAGATAATTTTGTGAGACATACGCAAATGAGACCCTAGGCAAGTGAGGGCCCTAGGCGACCGCCTCACTTGCCTAGGAGTGGAGTTGACCCTAAGAATGAGAGAAACCAACATATTTATTTAATAAGATAGCTAGGTTTTTAAATTTATGAAGAATATATTCTCCCTTAATTTCACACACACAACACATACTCCCCCCACCCCCAAATTTTACAAACCCAGCACATACAGCTGTACACACATACATACATTCATTATATACATATTTCAGCTATATACTTCTAGAATCATAGTTCAATATATAATAATTTTAGTCACGAGATATCGCTAATATATATATATATATATATATATATATATATATATATATATATATATATAAGAGAGAGAGAGAGAGAG